TTTCATGTCGTCTTGTGTTTTCCCTCTGATGTCCAGGTGTTCTGCACTTTGCGTTCATCGTTTTTGCCTGTTTCATAGCATTTCTTTGCCGCTCTAACGCCGACTTCGATCTCTGTTGCGAGTTGGCAACATTCTCAGAGGGTTCCGACATCGTCTTTTTTTTTCGCAGCTGGCGACTTTCATCATGTCGCAGGACCGGGGGAAGGATCCGTCAGACTCGCTCACGACCGCCCGACAAGGTCATAACAGAAAGACGTTTGACTCGCCGTTCATGGTCGACCCGACAGTTGACGGCAAGCGGGACGACCCGGTGTGGCATTTCGTGGCCAGAGGGCGTTATTTGGATGGGTCGACGACGACGGGCAGGAAGAGCGGTCGTCGATGCCTGTGCAGGTTGTGCGGGCGTTCGATTTGTGGGGGCGCTAAAGCCGTCAGGGAGCACTTCTCGAAGAGCGAGAAGTTTCGATGTGAGGCAGCCACTCCTGCTGTGTCGAATGCGATCTGGTCGAAGGACATGACAAAATGTCCAAAGGAGTTCGTGTCGACCATAGAAACGTTGCAGAGCCACTTGCCAGGTCATCCAAGTTTGCATTGGCCACCTCTTCGATTCCCCGAGGACGCAGTGCCGCCGCTGGTTCCTCCCACCGCCCCTTCTGGAGCCGTCGCATCGCCCAATTCTGGGGTTCCGGCCATTCGAGTCATGGTACCGCGTCCTGCAACAACAGTTGCAACACGACCGGCAGCCCCGCCGTTTGCGCCGCTGGCTGGGACACGAGGTGCTCGCGATGTGGGAGTTGGTCGTTCCACGCCAGCCAACGAGCCCCCGCCTCTGAGGGATGGAGTGGGCTCTGCGGCATTTGACGAGGAGAGCACACGTGCATTTATTGAGAGTCGCAAGTGGGGGGGGAGTGCCGGCAGTTCAGCGCCCGCGCTCGCCCCTGTTTTCAAGAGTGCTAGGCAATCAGATGTCGCACGGGGTGGTACTGCGGTGGCACCTGGCGCATCACCCCGCAGTTTGTCGGAGCACCCCTGGCTGCCACCGCCACCGTCGAGAGCGGCGCAGCGTCCAATGGTCCACCACGCTCACAGAACCTCCCACCCGGATCCGTCACACGCACCTGCAGATGCTCGACATTCTGCTTCCGTGCCTCGTTTCGGGGAATAGGTGGATCATGGGGTGCCTGCCGAGGAGGTCCCGCTCCGGTGTCCGATTCATCGCCGACCCCTGTTCCGACAACCACAGGCGGTGGTCGGTCTGCCCCACAGCCTCCACACGTGTTGACCGGAACGTTAGACCCTTTGCAGCGCATTCGTGACCTTGCAGTCGCTCAGAGCGCGACACCTGTGAGCCCTGGCGGGTTGTTGGATGCTGGGGTCCTCGGCGGGAGAGCTACGACAGGACGATGTCGGGGCACTTACAGGCAGCAAGCCGTCACGTCATATTATTCTGACCCTTTGGAGCGCGCATGGCATCTGCAAATCATGCGGTTCATCGTCGAGAGCGGGATGCCGTTCAACAGCATGAAGCTTGAAAGCTTCAAACGCATGTTCACGATGATAATCCCCCCGAGGGTTCCAGGGGCGCCCGCGCCTAGACTTCCCTCGTACCACATGCTGCGCACGACCCTTTTGGACGAGCTTGATGGTGAGGTCCAGAAGTGTGTTCGGCCGGTGCTTGACACGTCGAGAGAGACCGGTTGCACAATCATGACCGATGGTTGGACCAACATCCGTGGTCAGACGTTGTTGGTACAGAGATCGGGGTGGTGTATGTGTCCACCGACGTCATGCGTGGCAAAAAGGATGCCAGTGCCCTCGCGAACGCATGGTTGAAAAGGGTGAAGTCCATGGA